AGAATTAGCAGTCCCATTTTGCAGATGAGGAAACAGAAGTTGAGAGAGAGGGGGAGAGATGGAGAAGGGACTTGCTGAAGTCACCAAGTTAGTGGCAAAGCCTCAAGACTTGAAACCGGTGTTCTGGCTCCTAGTCTAGTGCTTTCCCACTACTACAAACTATCTCACTGAGCCTTGGTATCCTCATCTGAAAGATGAGGAATTGGGTTTGATGACCTCCAAGATCCCTGCCAGCTCTGAACCTTTTGATCTTACTATGCTCTGCAAGATTACTCTGGCAACATGTGTGAAATGGCTTGGAGGGAGATGAATGGAAAGAGAAGTGCCAGGAAGAAGACTTTGCTGGTAAAGGAACAACTCCCCAAGCTATCAGGTAGGGAGGTGTGGGACAAGTGAAATTAGGGTTCAAAGTAGGGGAAGGGTAGTTTTTGCTACTTGGAGGAATCATGGGGACATAAACAGTCTCAGACTGATGAATAGGGGTTACAGGAGTAGGGTTTAGAAGACCATTAGGGCTGGTGAGTAATGAACTGAGGAGAGGATACTAACTTCAAAAAGGTACCTTTGACTGGGTCACTGTGGATTTTTTTGGGGGGGATGAAAGGTGTCTATAATTGGATAACACATAACAAATAGTAATCAATTACCAGTCCTTGTCACATACCTAAAGCCATAGAATCATGGAGTACTGGAGCTGGAAGGATCATGAATTTGGAACTGATAGAATACAAGCTCTCTACTTTATAGATAATGATAGCAATTATAATTATTATTTATATATGTTTTGAGGTTTTCAATGTGGTTTACATATATTATCTTATTTAGTCCCGACAGCAACCCTGTGAGGTAGGTGGTATTATTATGCCTTTTTTACAGATGAGAAAACTGAGGCAGATAGCAGTTAAGTCACTTGGTCAGGGTCAAGTAAATTTCTGAGGCAGGATACAAACTCAGGTCTTCCGACTCCAAATCCAACATGCCGACCACTGTACTACCTAGCTACCAGATGAGGAATATAAAATTCAGAGAGGTGACATCCAAGGTCTTGGAACAGAAGTACTTTTTGCAGACATAGAGGGACTTTATCTTGTTTGTACATAGCTGCTTGCATGTTGTGTCCCCCCATTAGACTCTGAGCCACTTTGAGAGTAAGCTCTGTGTTTTTGCCTCTCTTTGTATCCCCAACACTTAGCAGAGTGCCTGGCCTTTCCTGCCTCGGTCTCTCTGCTGATCTCCAATCTCACATCTCCAATAGCCTTTCAGACATCTGGAGCTGGATGCCCACTAGATATCTTAAACTCAATATGTCCAAAACAGAACTCATTATCTTTCCCCTTAAATCCTCTCCACCCTCCACCTCTTCCCTATTATTGTAGAGGACAAAACCATCTTACCCCAGGTCCAAAACTCTAGAATTCTAGAAGGGAGATTAGGCTTCTTCTTTTTGGTGAGGCAGTTGAGGTTAAGTGACTTGCCCAGGGTCACACAGCTAGTAAGAGTTAAGTGTCTGAGGCCAATTTTGAATTCAGGTCCTCCTGACTCCAGGGCTGTCACTCTATCTGATGTGTCACCTGGCTGCCCCAATTAGGCTTAGTCTGATTGACCCCAGATGGAACCACTAGGCGTAAAGAATGAAAGCTGAAGAGAGACAGATTTCAGTTTGGTAGAAGGGAATATATCTTAACAATTAGAATTATCCGAAAGTGTCATGACCCACCTTTTAGTTGGTGTGTTTCTCCTCCCTTGGTGGTCTTCAAGAACCATATTGTTACTTGGCGACAGAATATTATAGAGGAGAAGCTTGGATAGGTACTGGTTGGACTAGATGGTCTCAGAGATCCTTCCAATTTGAATATTCTTTACTGTGATGTATTATACTCTATGCACATTTCAGGTCATACCATTCTTCTACTCAAAAACCTTCAGTGTCTCATTACTGCCTCCCAAGTAAACTTCAAACTCCTTGGCCTGGCATTCAAGGCTTTCTATAACAAGGGACCAATCTGTCTTTCCAGCCTTATCTTATGGTCACCCGTTCAGTCTATGCTGCAGCTAAATTAGAAAACTCTCTGTTGCCCCAAATACATTCTGTTACCTATGCCTGCATTGTCCTCCCTCCTCATCTTTGCCCACTGGCTTCTGTCATGTGGAAGAGGCATTGAACTTATTCTCTTAGGCCACAAAAGGCAGAACAAGAGCAACAGGGCTGAGGCATTTAACACTAAGGAAGATTTCAGCTTAAGGTGAAGAAAACATTTTCCAAAAATTAGAACTGTCCCAAAATGGAAAAGGTTACCTCAGGAATTACTGAGGTGGTAGCAGATTCTCCCTGTACAAGAGATGCCTCTGGGAAGCTGCCAAAGTTTTGGGGGGTATGCTTAGGACTGCCCTAGAAACCCCACAGATCAGAGACAGAGGGGAAGGTTTCTTTGTCTGAAATGCATTTACGCCCATTTCCTTCTGAGCTGAGAGCTCTCTCCCCAGATCTTCTCTCCCTTCAGCCTCTCTCTTGGCTTTGAGGAAGGGATCTGTCCCAAAGCCTGGTTCTGAATAGCTATTTCTTATATTGAGATTCACAGAATAACCGAGCAACAAGGGTCCTTGGAACATATAAGGTTAGAGCTAGGGGGGACCTTAGGACACAGAATATTAGGGCCCAAAGGGGTCTTGCAGACCATCGAGCTCAACCTTTTCATCTTATGGATGGGAACTATGCCTCAGAAGGAGAAGTGACTTGCCCAAAGTCACACATCAAATTGATGAAGGTCAGGTTTCGATGTGGCAGGATGTCTTAAAGAATTTCAAAGACTCAGGCCAACTCCAACCAGTTAGAGAGATTTATTGTGGATTTGAGGTTTCACACTCTGGTGAATGGCTAAGTTCCTTAGAGGAACTTGTAATTTCAGTAAGGTAAGACAGACAATTTTACAGGGCATATGAAATTGATTATACAATCAAATTTAATAGAATATAGGAATAAGATTAATATTGGAAATGTAGGAGGGGTTTGTTAAGGAATTAGGTAATAGAGGAGGGGGAGTCCCTTCTATGGTTTGGTGGTCAAACATCCTGGTCATGCCGCTTTCTGATTGGCTAGCTATTGTGGTCCTGTCTGGTCAAGATGGATAGTTAGGTATTATGGTCCTGTCTTGGGCTAAATGGATGATGTAATTGTGGTTGAGTACAAGAACACACCTGTTCAAATATGTGGATTGTATCTGAGGGCAGTGGCCAGCTAGGGGCAGTGGGCAAGCTGTTCAGTGTGGCCCATAAAAAAGTTAGAATACTGGGGCTGAGGACAGCTTTAGAATTCCATCATCATCACTGGCAGAGTCACAACTAGAAACCAGATCTCTTTAACTGACAACTCAGTTTTCCCTCTTCCCCCAGCATCCATTAATTTGCCTTCTCCATACACTAATTTGCAGTCAGCTTATACTATATCCATTGTGTGGATACCTGGGTTCTAGTCACGTTTATCCCATTCACCCATTTTATGACATTAGTCATCATGTCTTTTCTCTGGGCCTCAGTTTCTTCCTCTGTAAAATGACAGCATTAGATTTAGATGATCTTAAAGGAACCTCTTTAAAGTGTACCATTTTGTGATTTTTGATTATTACTTTTAAGTTCTTTAAATCATTTTCAGCTGTATTCTGCTGTGTAATCTGCCTAAGATTTAGAATTGGAGGGAAGCTCAGAGACTATATAGTCCATCCCCCCATTTTCTAGATGAGAACACTGAGGCTCACAAAGACTGAGTGACTTCCCAAGGTCATGAAGGTTAAATAAGTAGCAGAGCTAGAGTTCAAGTTCAGGTCTTTTGACACCAAATCCAGCATTCTTTCTACCATACCATACTGCCCCTGATCCTCTGGCTTTCTCTCTTCCATTACCTTGTCAGGGCTGTTGTGCCTAAGGACAGAAGGGGAGATGGTGGTGGAGGGGGAAGGGGTCAGAAAAGTCAGGAAGGGGGTCTGACCAACTAATTTGCAAATTTCAGTTTGAAGAGACCCAGGGAATTTTACTTTGAGAGGTGAGATAAAGTGCAAAAGGGACTAAACTGGGAAGTAGAATAGTTAGGTTCAAATCTCAGCACTGGCAATTACTAGTTGTATGACTGACTCCTTGGGCAAGTTATTTCCTCTTTCTGAGCCTCAACCCACCTTACAGGGCTGGGCAGTGATGATCAACGGAGAAAAAAGATGTAGACTGATGTGAAAGTATGTTATTATTTCTAGTTCCATAGAAGCAATCCAGTCCCAGACACTGTCCTCTGGTTCTTTGGTTGTAGGGTGTGAGAAAAAGTCTGGCTTCTGCTGCTGTCCCTCCCTTAGTGCTGAATAGCTGGGGTGTGTAGCCTCCATTCCGTCCCAGTTTGCTGTTGGGACAGGGAAGGTTGAAGAGCGAAGACTCTCCTAACAACAGTACCACTACTCAGGGAGAATACCCACTCTCTCCTAGGGTACCCCTCCCTAAGAAAGTCAGCCTTGGGGCTGACTAAAATGTGTTCCCCACCAAACAGGAGAAATTTCTCTTCTCCCTACCAAATAACAGGCAATAATCGCTCCTCCCCCCCCTCCCCCAATTGTGTTCGCCTGGTCAGGCCTACTGTGTGTCTCTCACCGAGCTACACACAAAAAAGTAAATAAACATTTGTGATCTGCATCAAACTGAATTCCCAAAAAGGGCTTTAGTGTTTTCAGGGCGCGGCTGAGCTACTTGCTATGGGTTGGGGAGAGGGAAGACCTTTGAAAGGGGTCAGCCGCTTTAACCGTTTCTTTCCCCTCTGCATCCTTCCAGAGAAGGGCAGCTGCTCCGAGGCCTGGCTCCCAGCTGAGAAGGAAGGAGTTACAGAGGGGGAGGGGGGAAACAAGCTCACAGACGCTGCGCGCTGACGAAAGCAGGTGATTTCTCCGCAAAGCTCTCTCCCTCAGCATCTTTCCTGGTGTGGGCTTTTTTCCCCCCCTGCTGATAGTGGGTGGGGTCGCTTCCCCTGCAGCAGTAGCGGCGGCGGCAGCAGCAGTGGCAACAGCAGTTCCAGCGATGCTCCGGATTCCCAGCAGATGATCGCTTCTGGGCAGGTCACTCTGTCCTTTTTCCTCCTGGCCTTGCCAGCCGGGAAGAGCTAAGTAGTCCAGGCGGGGAGCGGGGAACTGAGAGTGGGGAGCAGGGTCTGGGGAACAGCACCGCATAGGGCGGGAAAACCGAGGAGCCCGGAGGCAACCACCTCTCCCCGACCCTGCTGGCTGACAGACAGCCCCGCCCGTCTCTGCAGCATGGCTTAAGCCTTCAGCAGCCTCTATGGGTTCTACTCGGGGCTGACGGGCGAGGCGAGCCCGGGAGAAGATCTTGCACCTTTGTACTGCAATTGCAGCCTTTTTGCAAAGCAGCATTTGCACCCTTTGTAGGAAAGGTTGCACGCTTGCAGACTTTTTCATCCCAGAGAACATCACTGACCCCGAACCTTGGGGCTAGTTAAGTAGGGTGGGTGTGTGCTTTTCAATAAAATAAAAACTTAGCAGTAGTGAGTGAGTAAGGGGCAACACAGGCAGAAGCAGGAGGCTAGCTCCTTCGAGGGAGCAAGATCAGTGCAGCCTAGCTTGCTTAGGTGGGAAGAGAAAAGGCAGGCAGAAGGAAGGGTCTTTGGACACAAGCATCATGGCTTGGCCGTGCATCACCCGTGCCTGCTGCATCGCCCGCTTCTGGAACCAGCTGGACAAGGCGGACATAGCGGTGCCCCTGGTCTTCACCAAGTACTCGGAGGCCACGGACCACCCGGGTGCCCCGTCGCAACCGCAGCAGCCCCCAGCGGCACAGCCGCAGCATGCTCCCCCCTCGGCGCGCTCCGTTGCCATAGAAACGCAGCCGGCCCCGGGCGACCTGGATGCTGTTGCCCGGGCAACAGGGCCCAGCGGGGAGCGGGAGCCTGGGCCTCCCAGTGCCCAGGCCCAGGCCAAGACAGCCGCCGGCCTAGGTCCGGCGGACTCGGTGATGCGGCAGGATTACCGGGCGTGGAAGGTTCAGCGCCCAGAGCCTAGCTGCAAGCCCCGGAGCGAGTACCAACCGTCTGACACGCCCTTCGAGAAGGAGACCCAGTATCAGAAGGATTTCCGGGCGTGGCCGCTGCCTCGGCGCGGCGACCACCCCTGGATCCCCAAGGCGGCCCCGCCGCCCCCGCCGCAGCCGCAGCCCGCCCCGGCCTCGGCCTCCCCGGGCCCGCCTAAGGTGGAGGAGCGCCGGCGGTGGCGGCAGCAGAGTCAGGAGCGGAGATCGGCCGAGGCCCCTGCCCAGGCTCAGGCTCCAGGAGATGAGGAAGTGGGAGGAGGAGGAGACCTCCCTGCCGGGAAAGCGTCCGGACCAGACTGGTGGGAGGTGCGCAAGAAGGCGGGGCCCGCGTGGATGTGCGGCGGGCAGAGGGCCAGGGGCTGCAGGGGTCCGAGCCCCAGCCGCAGCCGCAGCAGCCCCCCGAGGCTGGAGGCGGCAAAGGGCGTGCGGCGGCCGACGCCCTCAATCGCCAGATCCGAGAGGAGGTGGCGAGCGCTGCGGGCAGCTCGTACAGGTGAGGCAGTGCCGGGGGAAGAGGAGGGAGGAGAGAGGGAGGGGCACCGCTGGTGCCCCAGCATCCCGAGCCCGATTTCATCTCTCCGTCTTACTCTTTGTATGACCTTGGGCCAGTAACTGTAACTCGCGGGGCCTTAATTTCCCCGGCTGTAAAATGAAGGAGTGGGACTGGATAACCTCTAACGTCCCTTCCAGCTCTAGATTTGGGGCTTAGACCCCGCCCTGTGGCCGTGACTCCACCCATCCCTGGGGGCTACTTTCAGGGATCGGGTTTTTTTCTCCTTTCTATCCACAGTTCTTAGCACAGTGTCTGAAATTTGACAGGAGCTTAACAAATGTTACTTGGCTGACTGACTAGTCGCTGCCCATGGCCCCACCCAGATCTGTGCTCTGGCACCCCACCGCCACAACACCCTTCCTCCCTTTAACCTACTCTACTCTCATTTCTATATCTGGCTTCTTTCTTCCTAGCCAAGGGACCTCACTTCATTTTCCCTCCACCCTTACTGCAGTCTCAAGGTCCACTTAGTCTTACCTGGTGTTTATCCTGATTAGTTCTCCCTTCTCTGCCCTGATAGTCCACTTGTCAACCCACTAAACCTTTATGTGGGTTATCCCCTCTCATCCTTCTTCCTGGGCCCTGTTTCACACGTATTTTCCCGTGCTCTTGACAACATCCCAGTACTGCTATCACCCTCTTGTTCTGTATTCACATTCTCCTTTTGATTCATCCTTCATCCTCTCATCACGGTAAAAACAAAAAAAGCCAAGGGCTCCTACTGGATCCCGGACCATCTCCAGTCGCCCTGATCTGTATCTTGACACTGGACCCACACGACTCCTGAGGAGAGAGTGAAGCTGGTGACTTTGCACAGCCCTCCCTCACTTAAATCCAATTCACTCGCAAGTCATGACATCTCCTTCCTGGAGTCATGGTCCGCTTTGAAACCTGTGAGGAGTAGTAGCTGCCCCACTGGGGACCCAACTGGCCAGTTCCAGTTGAACAGCTCTGCTTGCTCACTCCTTGCTTCCTTCCCACCGTCCCACATAGGGAATCTTATCCTTACCTGCGGGTGCTCTGCCCAAAGGAATATAAGTTTTGATTGTGAAACCTAGCCAGATATTTTGGGGTTTACAAGCTAGATTTCTTTTTTGATGGGCCACATCTTAAACCCAAATCACTCTCTCAGTGATTGGCCAACAGTGGGCCCCAGCCCAAGCCTTACTTGGTTATTGTTTGTATTCTATCGGCTCTGGGTGAGTGTAAATAGCAATTGTTTCTGCGTAGTTTCTGTTTTGGCCAGAAACCCTGAGGGTCTTCTCCTCCCAGATTGGTTTCTTTTTTATTCTTTTCTTTTAACTAGGTAAAGAGGCCATTCTCTGGCTCATTTCTTTTTTGTTTTTTTGGCTTTCTAGGCAATTGGGATTATTTGCCCAGTGTCACACAGCTAGTGTCAAGTGTTTGGTCTGAGGTAGGATTTGAGCTCAGGTCCTCCTGACTTCAGGGCCAGTGCTCTATCCACTGGGCCACCTAGCTGCCCCTCTCTGCCTCATTTCTTACTTAGCCTTAATCGCGAAATGGGCGTTGCCTCAGTTAAACAAAGACCTGTTAACAACCTTAGCTGAAAAAGGCCAAGGTCTCCCACTGCATCCTGGGACATCTCCCATCTCCCGATCTATATCTTGCCATTGGACCCAGATGGCTCTGGAGGAGAGAGTGAGGCTGGGGACTTTGCACACCCCTCCCTCACTTAAATCCAATTCACTTGTGAGTCATGAAATCTCCTTCCTGAAGTCATGGTCCTCTTGGAGAAGCAAGGATGAACAATAACCAATATCACCTCTTTTGTTACCCGTGTCACAACTCTTTTCCCAAGGCCTTTGCTTTTTTTTCCCCAAGCCAATTAAACTACTCCTCTCATTTCCAACCCAAACCTTCTCCAGACTTCTTGCTCCTCTCACCTTCTCTTTTTTTCATGTTCTACTCCATCCCCTTATCACCCAAACTGGCTCCTTTCTGACCCAGGAGGAAAAGGGAGCCTTTGAATTCTGTCTCCTCCTAACTTTCCTATTTCTGCCAAAAGCTCTAGCCTTCTACTAGTCACACTAGTCATCCTTCACTCTGCTGTCATTTCCAAGAGCCAACCAAACTCCCTTCCCTAGCCACCACTCTCCTATTAGAATGTAAGTTCATTGAGGGCAGGGATACTCTTAATTTTGTTTTTGCAAAATTGCTATACTTAGCACAGGGTTTGACACAAAGCACACGCTTAATAAATGTTTTTCATTCACTTATCTCCTTACCACTTACTACTGTTTATCTGGACATGTGAGAATAATCTCCTCAGTGCATCACGATTTTTAAGTGAATGTTCTACTCCCCATATTTGTAAGAACCCCTTTCTCTAGCTATCCATTCCATGCTCCCACCTCCCTTTTGGCCTTTTCCCCCATCAGTACATGCTTTTTCTACTCCTAGTTTGAACTTTCATTCCAAGCTAATGAGTAAGCAGATTGTGCTGTAGTTTATTCTGGAGAGATTGAATATGAAACCCTGGGCTTCAGGTCTCTGGAGAATCCAGATGTGTACAATGAATAATTAGACAAGAGGTGTCCAATGTGTGGCCCTAGGGCCCTATATGAGGGCCACAGCCACCTGCTTCTTTCTCACAGCAATTCAGCGAGGAAGACCACAGGTTTGTTATGTATTACCAAAAGCCTACAATCATTTCAAAATTTAACTTCATATATTAGAATTTATTGCTTTATCTTGTTATATGTGTGTTTATATGCATAGGAAAATATTTTACAAATATTCTTGTATATGGTAATGAGGGCTAATGATTTTAGAGCTACCAACATCCATATTATTCATTATTTTTAATGTTCTTTTTATATGCAAATTCATTACACAGACCATTGATTTCCAGACAAGTTAACAAATTAACTATTTAAATAGGGAGGAAGTTTTTAATGACACTTGATGGTTCAAGCACGCTCTTGGACAGTGTTCCATTTCTTTAATAGGCAATTAAAATATGTAACAGTTGATGTGAAACTTAACATTTTTTTGATTCAGGAGGAAAGCGGTTGTAAAGAAATTGAACACATTATAAAGGAAGAGAAACATCTGGAAATAATCTACTCTGAAACATTGATTCCCCAATGCCCCCATCTTGTCTCATAGTCTATGCCCTCTTGTGTTTCTGGGCATTTCTCTGATTCAAATATATTCCTCATCTGTTTCAAATGGGTTTGAGAGGCCATATTGGTCCCACATCAATGACAATTTGATTTATTATTCCTCATCCCTTCCAGAATAAATCACAATGTGTTCAGGGCACAATGACTAATTAGTTAATCTCATGGGCTTTAAAGATGGCATCTGCTGCATGATATTAATGTTAATAGTTCACTTACATATGAAAAGCTCACATAATTTACCATTTTAATAATCTGTAGTTTGACATCCAGATTAAAACCATAAATAATACTAAGGTATCTTTACTGGGGAAATGTAGTTGTTCCAGAAACAGAAATACATTTTTAATAACATGAAGATTTTGCGAGACCCCTATTTAGCAGACTTCCCAATTCATAGTCTGGCCACATCATCATGGGATTTTTCCGTCCAGTGCTATTTGAAGTGTGATTCTGAGTTATTGACACACAGCGTTGAATTAATGCAATAAACTGTGACATTGTCAAGTCTGTCACTGTTTATAATCCTAAAAATGCATTTCACTGGGCAGACTTTTGTAACAGACTTAGCAGACACACTTGTTTAGAAGATCAATTTGTCATTGGGTGAAGGGACAATACTCTTTGGGGGAGGTGAAGAGGGAGAGGGAAAATTACCCTTCCAATCAACCTCTCTGCCCTTGCAGTAAGTTAATAGGGATGGATGAGGGTAGCAGGTGCTCCCCATAGGAATGCTAATGGGAAAGACCTTTCTTGGCAGAAGGCAGCTGATGCTCTAGGAGATAGAATCTATCAACCAAGGAGAGAGAATTTCAGGAAGAGGAAAAAGTGACATGGACATCCGAAAGAAGGAATCATTGGGTTTAATATCTACAGCTATCCCAGGAAAGCTGGAGAAAATGGGAAAAGCCCCTTCTTTAGTGTCAGGTGAAAGCTACATTTTATATGAACAACAGGAAAGAAAATAGTTATTTTCCTCTTTTCCTTTCATAGAATCAGAGAATTCTTGTTAAGTGAAACAAATCTAGTCCAGTTGAGCAAGAGACCTTTCAATAACACAGGTGCAGTGAAAAGAACATTGGCTTGGATTCAAGGCCTTGCTATAACAGTAGTTTGGACCTCACACTAATTTTCTCCTATTTGGGCCTCAGTTTCTTAATCTTTAAAATAAGTGTGTTGGACTAGATGTTCTCTAAGATCCTTCCAAGCGAACATCTTGTGAAGTGGTTATCCGGGCTCTTCTTCAAGACTTCCAGTAATCAGGAATGTGTTATTATGAGGCGACCCATTCCACTTTGATCTATTAGGAAGGTTTTTTTTTTAACATATTGAATTGGAATTAGCCTTTGAAACTTCCACTCATTGCTTCTAATTCTGTCCAATGAGAATAAACAAAACAAGTGTAATACCAGCCATAATCCTATGCCCTTTGAATGTTTGAAAAATGCTAATAGAACCTAAGTATTTTATGGGCAGAGATTGTTATTGTGTTGAGAGTATGTGTGTGTGTGTGTGTCTGTATCTGTGTATGCGTGTCCCTAGACCTAGCACATTCATTGTTTATGGTCAGCATTTAAATGGTGGTTGAATTGAATCATGTGCACCCCTAAAATCTCCTTTTCCTGGCTAAACAATCAACGGATACTTGAATGGTGTGTTTCAAATGCTCTTCATCATCTAGTTCTATCTCCTATTTCCTCTCATACACAGTAGCTATCAATGTCCATTTTAAATGGGATCTCAGAAGTCAAGACAATGCTCTAGATATGGTTCTGGGCAGATGAGATAGAATCTATC